GCCCCCTTGTGCCTCGCTGGGTGGGCTGGCCTTTTGGGCCATGCCAATAGCCCAGACACCTTCTCAGTGCTGAATATATATATTCTGCCCGAGTATTGTGCCTTCTTTCGTCTTAAAGGAGTCTCGGGGCGCTACATTATATCATCTCCAATAATTAAATTATATCAAAATACTTACTGGCATCTCCATACACACTACATTCGATCATTTATACACAAATAAAAAGGTTCATTTAGGACCCTACTCTCTATTTTAATAGCTAATTCTCTGAACTCGGTAATTTTATCATTAGCTTTAAAAATATGTTGTTTTTTAGCTTTTGCACAATAATTACTTTACTTATAATACTAATAGTCCTCTTGAAGACATAAAAGCGGACTACAGACAAGACTATTGTTATTTTTATCTAAAAGCAGGTGTACACAAGCCGACACCTGCCGTTTCCAATGACATTGTTGCTATTAAGCTTTCACATAATTCGACCGTCGCTGGAATGCGCAAGTCCGAAATCGAGCGCATAAAAGGCCGAGCTGAGCCGGCCCCCGTCCTGCTCCCACCCCGCCCCCCGCTCCACCCGCCTGCGTGGTACATTCCTGCTTGTGTGCGCTGGCATGAATACCAAAGCGCAATGAGAAAATGCTGCCTCCATAAAATCGGATTTACTGCGTCTGTAGAGGTCGGACTGATCTACAATGATCAGAACCTGTAAATTACTCTGTTGAGCGTTCATACTCCAAAGACCTCAAATCAAATGCGAGTGTATTGAGAGACCATTTTGCAGTAAAAGAACCAGAAACTCACTTTTATTGCTTCCAAATTTACCAAGGCAGTCAGAGTTGCACACTCTTCGTCATTATTATTAGTAGGTTTTGTGAACCCGGAGTATTATTTTGATCTGCCTCCACCATTCCAAACCGGAGTAAATTGCCGTATTCTTGCAAACAATCGCCCTCCTCTATGATGCGAGCTTCCGCCAGCCTAATCAGGTGACTCGGTGCATTTTCAAGTTTTAACTTCGGTTGTATCAGGGCTTCCCTATACACGGCCTACCAGAAGGGGTTTTTGAGACCAAACTAGCCGAATCACAAATTACTTAACAAGGGGAGAGATGCATCTGCATGGTTCTCTCTTATGCCGACAAAAATGTATTTATGCTCCTGATTGAAATCTTCCACCTTTAAAGTCTTTTATGGTAGGATAGTAGCCCTCCTAAGGGAGCTTCACATAAATTTGTTCATAGTATTTGGTGTCGTACGTAGGGACAATCGTAGTGCCCTGAGACGTCCCTGAAGCCAAATAAAGCCTGTCAACTTGGGCAGAATATGTAGTGCCGATAAAAAGAGGGACTGGGGACCACTGGCACGGCTAAAAGGGCGTGTCAGCCAGGGAAAGTTCAAAGGAGGAGGCTTAAGCACCAGCGAAACTGAAATGGAAAGTTAAAAAAGCAACCAAATTATTACAGCTAGCCAACTTGTCCGTCTCGATGGTAGCCTCGAAGACGTCCAACAAAATTGAGACCTAGCGCTCTCTATTTAATGATCGATTAGTACAAGAAGACCCCATCTCCATAGTATCGAAGAAATGTCGAGAGCTTGACAGTCCCCTACAATAGTTTACTTCCACATTTTTGGAAGGCTTCTCAACCTTCTCATTCCATATGAAGCCCGTCAAGAAACCACCATGCAAGCTTTTTTTTCAGACTCAGACAGCAGGAAAGGAAGAGGGTAGAGTTCTGCAATACAGTCAAACATGTCAAGCTAGAATCTACTGTTTTAAATAAAGTAATGCCGTAGAAAAACGGTGATCCCACGAGTTAAATTGTAGCTCCCACTTTATCTGTGAAGGCGCAGCTTCCTCCACAGCCTTCCCTATTTATGGATGTAAACTTTGAGGGATGTTGTTAGGGGTCATGCAGGACCAATTTGCAGTCCTTTTGTCCTAGATAAATTGTCATCAGTAATGTAATGCTTTAGTCATGTCTTCGGAGTTTTTTGGCTCTGCACTCCCAGTCGTTGCGTTGCGATCCACTGGATAGTAGAGCAACAGCAAGACGTCGTGAAACTTTACCCGTGACTTGATCACAGGGCTTCCGGTTAATCGGCCTTGCAATAAGACGATTCGTGTATTTCGGTGGTAGCGACTTGTCTCGGGAAATTTGGTTACAATAATTTTTAACGCCAATCTAGTGGGTGGAAGGCCGGTTGAATTCCTGCTGGAATTGCCCTACATATGTGGAGAAGGAAGTATTTTAGGGCAAGGAAACCCCTAATTTTTGTTTTAGTCTTTTCTGTCAAACTACCTCCAGTAGTGTAGAGGGAAATGAACTCCCACATCCCTTCATTTGGAACCACGGACATGTTAAATTAGCCCCAAATTAAGTGTTGGTACTAGGAAGAAATCTAAAGAGAGGAAAACGCCATTTCTCTTTTCTTACCCCACTGCAAATGCGCACAGAAAAGGTAGGAGTCTGCTGCTTTTTTGCTATCATGGCAAAGCTCTGCACCAAAAGAAACGCACACAACGCTTTGCGATTAGTCCGTGGTGACAATTTTTACCTCCACCGCTCCATTCCATGTGAATGGGGAGAAGTTGTTACTACCGGGTCTTGGTTATGACTGATCCTACTTTTGGTAGAATGATGATAATAATTTCCCTGTTGCCTATATTGTGGCGTTGGAGGTGGTAAAAAAGGCACTAGAGCCCCGATACAGCTTTACCGTAGACGTCTGGACGAGCCAAGAGGCCGATAGCAGAGAGGTGGCTTGAGCTGCGCCTTATGCCACCTACTTTGGAGGTAATTCTAGAGAGAATGAACATTTCTCTATAAATTATACCCTAGTGTATCATAGGAACTGCAAGTCCAGAAGTAGCAGTCAGACTCCATGCCGCTGTTGTGAGGATATATCGCTGGAGAGGAAGTAAGAGCAAAGCAGAGCTGCTACGGGTCAAATTAACCAACCAAAAGCAAGAAATAAAACAACAATGAGGGTGGAACGTCTAGCCGATTCAAAGAGCCACTTTGTGCCCCCTTCTACCCCGAATTTCTGGCAGGGACTTCAAAGCTCAGTTAATAGGCTGTCGTCGACGAATGATTAACAAATGTTCTGGCACAAAGCGACCGACGGAGGGAGGCAAAGTGGAGGAACAACAGTTGTTCACACTCGTATAGAGAGAGAAATAAATGCAAAAGGGGAAAGCGTTCAGGAGTGGCAAATGTAGACCAAAAATTCAGTTGATGATCGGCTACTTTGCTCACTTTGATCAAACAGAGGCCACTTATAAAAACCCAACTTCCAGCTGTTCAGACGTCGGCCCAATATCTGTCTTAGTGTTTAATGGCAAAATAGGTCCGTTAGTGAAGGATATTCATATGGGTTAGCTAAAACAGGCGAACGAGTGTAATAAGGCCTTACAGGAGGGATCCTAGTTTGCCCCAAGGCCACTCTCCTGCGAGTTGTAATGAACCACGGAGCAGGAACCATCATGATACAGTGAAGGGGCACACCATGGGAAGAAAACTACTTATTAGTGGTTGTAGGTGCTGCTTCCATGGTTAAGAGTCCTAAAATCTCGACATACTGATATGGTGAAATGCATCAAGAAATGCACAGCTTTAAAATAACCTTTCCTTGTTCTTCAACTGGCTCCTTAAATGCCGAATCTCGATTCTTTAGCAGTCATTGGGCAGAGCTCCAGACTGATGCTGTTTCAACAACTCCTCGTCAAACATCTCGTGTAGTACGGAGTCTGAATGATTAGCCGATGACGTTTGAACCTTTTTACACCCTAATAGGGTCCACTCATCACCCTTGCCTTTAGGTCATGGCACCGCACTGAAGTAAAAACTGCGTCAAAATCATCAGGGTTTTATAGAACTGTTCAAAGGAGTCATTTTATTATAATCAAGAAAAGCTAAAACATCAAAAGCACATCTTATATCTATCAAATCCTTATGTCTAAGCATTGAATTGCTTTGCACCTCCTTTATCGGACTAAATCCTGCAATTCTGACTTCCTGGGTTGTTTCAACCTGACAAGGCAGTACAGAGTTTTGAAACCGGATCAGACGCCTGACTTATGACAGGTTGATAGCTTCTTCAATGGACCAACTGATTAGGTGTTAGTGATGCTGCCAAAAGTTTGATTAATGATGTCATGGAAATGCCTTTTTAATGCCAAACAGGCAATACAAAATTTGTTATTAGCTGGCGTCAAAACAGGCGTTTTTAAACGCCCTACAGGGTGTTTGGTCTTTTCAAATGTCAAATTATTGCAAATGGTCTGGTATTTCGGGAGGTCTTAACCTTGTCACCTCTCGAAAAGTGCTCCACAAAAAGTGCATTCATACTACCGTTCTTAATTTTCCCTTGTATTGGTCTTAATCGGCCTTTAATAGAAAAACTGAAGACTAGTCATTTGAAAGGCTTTGGCAGTCATTTGGCAGTTGACCAGAGTCATTTAGAACGAGACCTGCTTCTAAGTTGCTGCCAAACCTTTTTTAATCCTACCTGATGCTGAAATTTGTGTCTACTTACTTATATAGCCACCAAATGGAATTTAAGGGAACTTTAGACCAAGCTCTAGTGCCGCGATTCCCTGTCTACCTCTGCTTTTCGGTTTCGCGATCACTTTGGGCTCCGCAACTGTGCTTCCGTTGGGAGGTTTGGCATCGGGGTCATGCCAGTGACCACCCAAAACCCTTCCACTTGTCAGCAATAGATATTCTGCTTAAGTATTCACCTTTCTTTTGCCTTCAGGTACGACTCGGGGCACTACATTAGTGGCAGCGGAAAGCGAATCCGATCCCAAGGGAGAACTACCCTGGTTTCAATTCCTGAATGCTATATCGTAGCGTGGTGGAAGAAGGGAGTATAATGATGACTCCTAACCAAAGGGCTGAACATGACGTCTACTTTGGGTAGCTACCCCAGTCCTGTGTTGTGCAGGAAGATCATTAACAACTGAAGTGACATTAGTCGTGAACACTGCGGAAAGGTTCGTTACTTAGCTATCTACGGTATCTGTGTGGAGATGTCATTTAACAGAGCACACCTTACCTCCTCCACCTCTCCAATAGCTAAGAGGTGCATAGATGAATCTCTGACCGTGCTGTATTTTATTTTTCTTATCTTAAAAATCTAGCCACCATCTTGAAAGTGGTACTGTCTACTTTTCTTTGCCTGTGTATAGCGTATCTTCGCTGTTTACCATAACCGATTCCAAATTGTGGTTGGCAAATACTCGGCTGCCAAAAGCGACAATTTTATTTCCTTTGCAAAAAAACAAAAACAACGTTGCAATATCTTATACATGTATGATTTAAGGGATGACCTCTGGATACATCTTAACCCCAAAATACTCCTCTCCCTCTCCCCTTCAACTCACAAGCTTGGAGGCAGTGTTTCTGGAAGATCAACTTTTCCACGGACTGCTCCAAGAGGTAGTAAAACTTCATTTTTCAGCATCAGTAGCTCAGGTACTTTTGACCACCTCCACCTTTACCTTGTTTTTTCAACTGTGATGATGTTTTATCTCCCTTTGCGTTTGTGGCACATGTTGAAGTCTACGGTAGCCGCCTTCTAAAAGGTCTTTTGGATTCCGCAACTGACACGTTTCTCACTCATCATCGGTACATCCAAAATCAGTTGATGAATAAATTCGATTGTACTATCAATTCCTCTGCGCGAAGTAGATCACTAATTTGGAATTCAAATGCCCCGAACCACCAAAATGTTTGCAGTCATGACTACAAGACACGGCTAATCAAGGGACCACCTTAGTATAGCAAGAACTTAAAATACTTGAATATCATTGCTCACTGAATCGGTTCCTATCTTATCAAATTAACCCACGACGATGATGCCTCTAGGAGGAGGCATTCAGCCTTCCCCTCCATTCAAATAAAGCAAAACATCCATTTCGCTGCTGCAGTAAAATGATCCACATTTGAATGCACCTGCAATATGACAAGTGCGGCTAGAGAATAATGACTACTACACACACCATGACTCCTGCAAGTTTAATAGATTGCCTTCATCACCATTCCACGCTACGTCCTCCCGCCAGTAGGCGCCTCCTCCCCTTCTTTCCCTGCGCCCGCGTTCAAGAATGCGAGATTGCCTTACAACCAGAGTGGATGACATATGCCTTCAGGCATTCCTCCTGGCAACCCACCTGACCTTTCGGCCGAGGCGCAGAATGTGCATTATTGTTGGTGATGGCCAGCGCTTTGGGTTGGTTGCCTATTTCCAAGCTGGCTGCCACATTCTATCCCAATCAGTGGGTGCCAGTGTAAATGTGTGGTGTAAAGCAGCCAGGAAAAAATCAAGAAGACGACTTTGGGTGTTGAAAGTGTGTTGGAGGCGAAGGTAAGAGGGGTGGTATTAGGACAGCAGGAGCAATAGCAGCTTCGTTACAAGGCCTTCAGTCAGAATGAAGCCGCAATTTATGGACAAAGGTCTCCTTGCTGATTGCGGGTATGTCCGGCGTTCTGTGTTGAATGGTTGCAAAATTTTTTTTGCAGACAATTTAAATGCGTTTGGCTGAAGGACGATGATAACTTTCTCTCGGTACAAGTAAGGTAAGGTAAGTAGTATTTACGGTGATTGTGATAATCACAACAATGTTACTCTACCAACGATTGATCTCTGGTATCTACTGAGGCGGTACTGGAGGAAGAAAGGGGAGTAAAGTGGTCCCAACTCACTCTATTCGGCTTGCAGAGAGCTGATTTGACCTACCGCCACGGCTACAGTGGTCGCGAAGCCTTCGTGGTATAATTTGTGCCGTTGGTCCATCTCAGCTAACTTTCCGCCCTTTCCTAGTATCCAATTCCCGCCTCCATCTCTGCCTTGCCTTCACCGTCTTCTCTTACTACAGCTTTGGCGTGCGGCCACTTGGGGGCTCCGTCGTTGCAGCTCTGCTGAGCGGCATGGCCTTGGGGCCATGCCAGTAGCTCTCAGCCCTTCAGTACATCACCAATTCATATTCTAACAGGGTCTAATTCCTTTTTTTTTTATCTTCGACGAAAGCTTGATTTGCTGAAGTTGCAGTTTTGAGGGTCAGTGACCCTTTCTCCTAATGTCACAAAGATACGATGGCAAGAAATGTCATACGAGCTCAGCTGGTAGTACCAATCGGATTCTACTTCTACTTAACCCACTTATATTTATGATTTTACTACCACTAATCCTTGTTCCTTAGTTCAGCCGACCTTCCGCTGATAATCCTCTGCCGAGTTTAAAAGTGGAGTTAACTGATTGACCGGCTCCTTGTAATCACGAAGGGGGGAGGAGAGGAAAGAGGAAAGAAGCATTATGTCGACTGAAGGCACTGCATCAGAGTAGTGGACAGGGGTAACTGCTAATAGGCAAACAGTTCCCCAGTAAAAATGACGAAAAAGCAAGTAGTTATGAGAAGAGAGGGTAACGCTGTGAAGTTCACCCAATCAGCATTTTCACACCTCTTCTTAGCTGGTTGCAGCTTCTGTTTGCCTCCCTACCTCAAGATTCTACCTACCATAAAATTTACAGGCCCTAGACTTTTATCCAGAGAATTCCGATTATTCCTCATCTTCTAGGAGCCCTGGTGTTTATATTTCTGCATTCCTCATCCCTCGTTACATCTCTTGATCCGTTCTTAAGTTGAGGATGCCTGGAGCTGACTTCTGTGCTGGTTCCAGACCAACCCATTAATCTGCATTGAATAACGGCGCAAGTGTATTCTTTTAGGTCGTATTTGCGAACCTCTGAATTACGCAATTCACTTTCCTTCAAATCAAACTGAAGGCGCGGAGCCACGCTGACTTCGGAACATGTGAATTAAGCTGAAAGGCTTTCACCAGGTTTAAACAAGTGGAACTGGAAGAAGGGAAAACACGTAATCGAGTTTGGCCGATTGGCGGAAAAATCCTGCTGGACCCTTGTTTTAGCATTTTTTTCCTTCTACAAACCCTGCCTTCTAAACTGTTACCGCCATTAACTTCCTCCCCGAATGGAAATGGTGGCAATTTTATTGAAATTTCGGTCAGAATAGGTGATTCACTGGCAGCTAGGAATAAGCCTATCACACTCAAGGTACGAAAGAAGGTGGCAAAGTCCACTGAACTCCGTAAGTAACTCCATTACTATGGTTCTAGACTTCTTCATAGCGTCTAGTAAACCTTTTTACATTGCTTTGCTGAAAGCCTGTTTCCAAAGGCTAATCAACGCCCCTCTAACCTATTCCACCTACACCTCCACGGACAGCCTTCATACTTAAGTGACAGAAAACCACTCTACACTTCACCACGGAAGGCATCAAAAGGAGGTGTTTCAACAAAACATGTAGCGCTGTTTATCTACACGAAGGTAATAGCCGATGAAAAGATGCGAAACGCAATAGAAGAGAGAAAGGAAAGAAAACAGTTGTCGGTTTGTTCAAGACACAAAGTCTGTGTGTAAGAGCGGGAGCGGGATGCATATTTGGTAGGTACTATTCTTGGTTTGGCACATCTTTCATAAAAACAGTCGACCTAAAATAAGCAAAAGAAGCCTTAAACTAGCAGAATTGGCGCCGATATCGTATTAATCGCCGTTTTGATAGGCGATTCCGCGACCATCGATCGTTCCTTCAATATGGAAAACGCTTGTTCATCTTTCGTAGACATGGTAGCAGCACCAAGAGTCACTGAGGTTTCGTCATCCTAATTCCCCGATTAAGACGCGGCGAAGCACACTTGACCTCCAACTATGAAGGATTTGAGGATTTGGACCCGAGAGCAGGAATGAGACCAACTTGTGCCCAACGTTTGCTTGATCTTCCCCAAGTTCTTACATCATTCGCTTCTGAGTCACTTCCGAAGGCGACAAAATTGGCAACTTCTTGACATACAAAAAATGGGGAAGTCAGAAAAGTGGCAATTGATCATTTCTGACTGCGCCTTTTGATCGTCTTCTGTCTGGCAAGTTGGCGGTCGCCTTGGTTAGGAATAAGGTAATATTTGCCGCCCCGGAAATGAACATAGAGGTGGGATCAAGGTATCTCGAGTGATTGTTTTGCGATGGCGGCGGTCCCCACCGTCAAATGTCACGGAACGCCCAACTCACGGTCCAAACTCAGCTCTACCTGCTTTTGTACTTCGAGATAAGGCAAGTGAACATCACAGTTTTATGATGCCTCTGTGGAATTGACATTCCTCGAGAAATATGCGTTGGGCACATCCCCAACAGTCGGCAAAAAAAAATACTGTTAAGATTGATGGCTTAAAGATTACCTACCTGTAACCAATGCGAGAACAAATGTAAACCGAGCCGCTGGTTGACCCGTTTTGCACCCTGCAGTCCTTGGGACTGCCGTAACATCCGATTCCTCCTCTAGGTCTCCAATGACTGAAAAGGAGAAACAATGCAGTCAAGGTACCGAGCAACGGGTACTGAATGGACAACACATCCTTTTACCATCTGATCGACCATCCACCTCCCCGAAGTTGTAATGCCCCACCGGTTTTGGCGGCCCTTGAGGTGGCAGAAGACTGTTCCACTCATCCACATAACCAATGGGTAGACCGCTGCTTTCTTCCATCTCATTGTAATTGACTGGTAGGGCGGCCTCCTCGTCGATGTCTATTACCGGTCCCAGAGCGTGGAAGTTAAGGCTTCGTTCTTCTTCTTCCTCCGGTATCTGTGGTAGGGGGGAAGGAAGGCCCTCCTCAACGATCTCGCCCGAGGAGCTTCGACGAATCTTGTTCACTAGGGCCCGTATCGCCTGAAGAGATGATGGAGGAAAATGATGTGTCTGTCTAGTGCAAGGCTCCACACCGCTGGCGTTGTAGTCATCCCGCTCGCACCTACGCGCCCATATAACAAAACTACCGCCAAGTTTGCTGTTTACTTTATAACACATCTCTAGGGTGGTGATTAAGGCTTTGGGCCAGAAAGTGGACACAGTTGATGTTACTAAACCCTAACTGTCCGGTTTTCTTGAGCATTTTACCAACGTAAAAGTTTTTCCATTGGGAAACGCCTCCATTTATCCTGCAAGATGCCCTCATTTTCGAGCAATGCCAAGGGACACAGAGGCGGATTTTATGATTGTGACATTTGTTTGATGTTCAGTCACTGATAGCCCCGCATTAGGCGTGGGCCAAGGGATGACCATTATCACTTATTTCGGTTAATGGAAAACAGTTTATTGCAATCTCGGTAAATTACAGTGGCTGTTGCCACAACAAGTGAAGAAACTTGAGGTTGTCAATGTGTCAGTCTTAAGTGCAGATGGACGACTTTTAGAGTTAGGGGATTGAGAAGTCGGCCGTCAATCAGGCTACTCGATGTATCTCTTACGGAGCCTAACACTAGTCACCAAGGCATGGATCAAAGTTCCTCATCTCGAGTTCTTCGTCATGGGGTCTTTGACGGCTGCTTCGTCGAACCGGGTAAGGCAACTGATAATGTGGACTTGGAACGCTAAGATGGATAGCATGGTTGGACTATCTTTATCAATGCCCTCTGACCTTTTGCTATAGTTTACTGATCGGGAAGCAGAAATCACTGCCTTAATGCGATAGAAAAGTATTATAACCCCCTGTTTGTATTACAAGACAATGAAATTCAGCCCCACGGGGGATGGAGCTTTCTAGGAGGGAAGAACAAAGGTCTTGTAAGTCAATGGTAAAGAAATTCTGCGCAGCCTGTGTGAGGTCGTGTTGCATTTACCATCTTTTTCTTGCCTTGAACTGGATACAGGAAAAGACTAGATCTTGTTTGAACACGTTTCAGTCAAAATGGAACACCAATTGAGAGAAGAAAAAGACTGTGTAAACTCTTTTATACATTTTTCAAGAGAAGGGACGACAGTGGACCGATTGATGCAATTGAATTTGCCAGGAAGACTTTAAATCGACTGAAAAAGAATTCAGGCAGTGTTGGATGTCTTATCAGTAGTTCTTCTAGCTCTGTGGCTAACCTTTGGGTTTTGGAGTCCACAATTTTGGTATCTGAGCTCTGCGGCACAAATACGTGACGCGCGCGTTACCTTTTAGTTAAATGCAAAAGTTTGCACCAGTTCGTTCTTGGAATGAATTAGCTGAGTCTCTAACACCACGAAGGATTAAGATGGTCTCAACTTGTTGATAATAACAACTTCTTATTGGAATAATGATTTAAATTACGTACTTTGGTGGCAAGAGATATCAAATGAATGGATGATAAAGTGAATGCAGGATGGATGGGACGGATGGATGGGTACCTCCCCTTAGGGGAGACTTCAAGGACCTAGCTATTGGAGTAGGCTGTCTTAGGATAGCTCGGCCGTACCGACAAGTCTTACTGTATCGAAGCAGCATAGGTGCATTGATGTAGTAAAGGATTGTTGAGAGAAACGCATTCTTCGATCCCTGATCCACAGTTTTTTCCTTTTACAAATTGGTGACTTAGAAGTCTTGATTTGACTCAAGTTACGGTGTAAACAGCTTCATGACAAGAGTGAGGCAAACATCCCTACCCTTTTTTATCTTCAGCCGCTGGTGAAGTGGTCATTAATCACCAACAAACCGCACCTCGTGAAGCGATTTCGGTCAGATAGGGGAAAACAGGAGAAGCTGTTGAGGTGACTTGAAAAAGTGGGCAAGTAGAATGAATGCAGACGGTTTTTCCAACTTTGCGCCATTTTTCACCATTGAAAATGGAGAAAGGAAGTAAAAAAGCAATCACCCTTTTCGAGGTGGACTCGTGGTACACACCCGTTCCAGTCTTGACTAAAATCTCCACTTCTTTTCGCCTCATCACCTGACCACTGTTTTAATTCGAATGAAGTGAACATTTGTTTACTGCGGTCCCAATGATGCCAGTAGAGGGACGAGTTATAAGCATTGGTCACTGTGGGGAGGATACGAGCTGACATTTCGAAAGGTCTTAAGGAAAAAACAATTTTACCACTTCACATGGTCTGCTGTTTTACTACTGCCCTGATGTATGAATGGAAAGTGTTTCTACTAGCAGACCCTTTCCTCTTTGTGGAAATCCTCCTGCTGAAGGAGAAGCATCGGCACAGGGTGTAATTAACTCTGGGGACGAACAAACCGGGGTCACAACTCCTTTTTCGTGTTATCATTTGCATTTGAATCCCTAGATTTCCGTGGAAG